AAAGGGCAGTGAAGCAAAATGTCCACAAATGAGTATATTTTCAAAATGTTCTGAGGTACATACTTAGCAATGACTCCTAAGGAATGTTCTAAGAACCTGAACATGGCAAATCTTTCCTTTAAATAATAAAACCATATGCTAACTCATTTGATTTATTTTAATTGAACTATGGAAGATGAGTGTGGACTAATGGATGCTGTAAAGTAAATGCAGTATCCTATGGCCATTCATCAAAGTACGACCATTTGAGGGTTGCTAGAATGTCTTAATGTCCCTACATCACATTGGAATTCACGGATGGCAATTTCATGATGGATTGCTCAAGAAACATTAGGATACCCGTTTTATAAATTATGCTTCCCATATTAATTGAAACCATTTCTAGAAACAAAATCAGCAACAGAATTCAATAAAATAATAAAACTTACTGTTTACTAGTTTTTCTCCTAGGTGTTGTGGGAGATGTAAAAGCACAAAAATTATCACCCCTAATTTGCAGAGTTTTCAATTTAGTTGGGAAACAAACAAGTAGGACTTACCAGTGGAAATTTAGATAGTGACTCAGGACTCAAGAGCTCAGATATCAGAATGAATGGTACAAAGCTGTGTTAATTAGGTTTGTGTCACTAACCAAAATACCTGACAAGAACAACTTAGAGGGGGGAAAGTGTATTCTGGCTTATGGTTTCATAGATTTAGTCCATGGTGGGCCAAGTCCTTTGCTCTGGGCTCAAGATAAGACAGAACATATGGCAGAAGGGCATGGTAAAATACCAACGCTCTGTTCTTTTCTGGCCAGGAAGGAGAGAGAGAGAGAGAGAGAGAGAGAGAGAGAGAGAGAGAGAGAAGGGAATGGAAAAGATGAGCCTTCCCAGGTTTCTTGCCCTGTTACCAACCTCCTCCAGCCACACCCCACCTGCCTACAATTACCACCCACTTTATCCATTCAGATCAGGATGGTCTGATTAGGCTACATCTCGTAATTTAATCATTTCAGCTCTGAATATTCCTATATTAACACAGGAGCTTTGGGGGAATCCTTCCCTTTAAACCATATCAAAAGCATACTAGGATCGCTTGCTCAATGGTTAGGATAATGCGGGTGCAATGGGTGTCTTCTCAGAAGGGTACAGATTTGAACACAACCTTGATGGATAGACAGACTCATGTTGACAGGAAAGTAGGACAGTGTGTTAAAAACATGAAGGCAGGAATGGTAAAGGCACTCTCAAGAATCTCAAGAATCAACAGGCATACAGTTTTGCTAGAGCAGGGGATCCATGGGCAAATGATAGAAAAATTTACACAGGTGGACTGAGATGTGCATGAAGGATGCTGGTAAGGGTTAGTGAATCTGGCTTCCAATGTCCAGGAAACATGGACATATCAAAGGTCTTGGGGAAAGAAGTATTGCCAGTTTCTAGAAAAATTAAGCTCATTTTGTCACAAGCAGACTGAGATATGAGAGGAGAAACATTTAGGAGGAAGGGACTGTGGTTTCACCTGGTCAGGCTTGTCTTCATTGAGAGTGGTCTTTAGCACTCTGGACCCCGGATTTCTCCTCTTCTTTCCTCCCCTTCCCTCCTCGATCTCTTTCTCTCCCTCCCCCCATCTCTCTCTCTCTCTCTCTCTCTCTCTCTCTCTCTCTCTCTCTCACACACACACACACACACACACACACAAACACATGCACACATTCCTCAAGGATCCACCAACTCCCAGTGTCCTGAGTACATAATATTTCTTTCTCCTTTATCATGTATCCTTAGTCTCTCCCTGACATCCAATGTGCTCTAGAGACACAGTGATCAGGTGGGAACCAGAGACTAACGAGTATTTCCCAGAAGATAAGACTTACAATCTACTCATAGGATTTTCCCAGCTTCAGTTAATGACCTACTGCTGTCAGTTTTCCCCCTAGCTCCAGGAGGGCAAGATGATACGCTTCTAAATGAGGGCAATGAAGTCTACCTGTTGAGCCTCATCCGTGGTTAATTGGGTACAATACTCAGTTTCTAAGACAGTTATATGTTGAAGTGCCATTAATAATTTGTGATGAGAACAGAATGTTTAACTTTTCTCTGAGACACTGGGCAACCCTGCAACTTCACCTTCTACCTAAGCAACTACCTGAAAGGTAATTCTAATTTTCATTTCTCTTTGCCTCTCAATCTGACAGTTGGTTTATAACTAAATCCTACTATTTCCCTTTATATATCAGCTCTGTCTCTTTGGCTAGTTTCCCAGCTAAAATATCAGATCTGGAAACTTCCTGACCCTTTTTCTAGCTGGGTTTTCTACTGGCATCATGAATCTACCCTTCCATTCTGTCTTCATGGTTTGGCTCATGTGACCCTAGTCACCCAGAGTCAGGCCTTCCCCCATCTCCCTGGCTTCTAAGACCATCAGAAATTTTCAGAACAATTCTCATGTCTAGAGAGTGAGCAGTGACCATTTTCATTTTCAGGCAGGAGGTTCAACTCTTTAGGCAGTTAGAAATGTGCAGTTAGCTCAGGATAGTAGCAGCAGGAGAGGGAGAGAGGACCCCTGAGCAGCTGGATCTAGCAAATTAAGGAAAATGCATTTTGTAACTGCAGGGCTTACCATTATGATTTTTCCTACTGTGGTCTCATGAAGGATCTGGAGTGCCTGACACAAAGAGTGAGTAGTGTGGCTAGAATTTGAGAGAGGGCACATGCATAGAATCAGTACAACTTGGCAACAGACTGGATATGAGGAGAGGGTTGGGGGTGACCGTTACCAAGATGGTGAATCCACATGGAGAAGCACCATATTTTATAGGAAAGGCAGTTGCTTCAGTTTGAGACTTGTTGACCAGATGTGTTTGGAAAACAGTTGTGGACTGTCCAGTGGGTAATGGGATATTTGGGGCATTAGGGGGTTGAGAAAGGGGGACAGGAAGACCAAAACACCAAAGAGAGTGGAGAGTCAAGCCAAGAACTCTGTGAACAAAAATATTTAAGGAAGGGAAAAAGAATCCCTCAAGGGATCATTGGGAAGAAAGAGAGAATGAAGAGGACATTAGGAACACTGAGGCAGGAGAGACAGGGTACAGCGGGATCATGCCTGCAAGCCAAGAAGATAAGGAGTGAAGAAGGTGAGGAATGAAGATATAACCACTTAATTTGGTCACTGGGTGGCCAATCATATCAGTGGCTCATTGTAAAGAGTATTTGGTTACAGCATGGAGAGGTGAAGAAAGAAGCCTGCTCAGGTAAAGATTGTGGACATGGCAGCTTAGACAGTAAGGAGCAGTCTGTGAGAACTGGAGTGGCCAGCAATATAGGAATGTGGCATCATGGTGATGGGCTGGCAGTGTTCTCAGAGAGAAGATGATGACTCTGAAAGCCTTGGTGGCACAGAGTGTGAAAGTGGGGGGCAGATGATATTCCAGATCTTGATGGAACTGGTGCCAACCAGCACAAGTACAGGTTTTGGGGCCAGACCTTGTTACTTGGTGGCTGTACAGAGCCAGCAAGTTATTTAACCTTTGATGCCTCATTTTCCTCCTTTGCAAAATGACACTGGTACCAATTATGACCTGGAATTATCATGAGGATTAAAATGAGGTTAGAGAAAGAACCAAACATAAATTAGTAATTGTGGTAATGCAGGCCAAACTCTTAAGAGTCACCTTTGACTTCTTCCTTTCTCTTTCTTTATCTCACCCCTGCCCCTTACAATCCACCTCCAATTTGGAGGGACATTCTGTTGGCTAGTCCACTCAAATGCCACCCATCCAAAATCTGACCACTTATCCCTACCTCCACTCTGGTCCAAGACACCTTGCTTCCCAGCCTGGTGATACCTGTGGCTTCCTAGTGGTTTCCTTACTTTGACATGGGCACTTCCCCCCCTCCACCTACCCTTATGCACTGGCCAAAGTGATTTTGATAAAACTTAAGTACACAGCAACCTATTATATATTCTATGAAGAACTAGGAGAGAGGAACTCAAAGGTTCAAATAAATAGATGATAAGGGGATGGAAACAGTAATTACCCTGATTTAATCAGTTCAGGCTGTATGTACATGTTTAAACATCTTAGAGAAGAAGCCAAGTCCTCATTAGGGCAGAAGGCCCTGTCAACCTCTCTGAGAGCTCACAAAGGGCACTCCTCTGGTGATCCTCCCCATGCCCACCACTCTTGGGATTCACAAGCAACTTCCGCCCTCAGGCCTGCCCCAGTTTCCCAGGTCACCTATTTCTCTCTGACCTATACTGGCCCACCTTCTGCACTCCTTAACCCTTGCTCCTGCTTTGCTTCTCGGTAATATTTATAACTATCTGATATTTTTTTCTACTTTTTATTTAGAGACAGACATTTTTCTTGTTTTTTTTTTTCCCCCCCCCCCCATTGTTATTGCTGTGTTCTCAGACCTTAGGACAATGATTAAATATGTATTGATTGAATATATGATGGGAAAGCTAGTAGCTAAGTTTTGTCTATCCGTTTTTCTCAATTGTGGGTCTGGGTTTCATCCCTGGCTGGTCTTCCTCCTGCCCTATTTCCAAGACTTGTGAGTAGCCCAACCCCACAGAACACATCTGCGAGACCAGATGGGGTCCCACTTCTAGAGGCTTTAAACTTTGAGGGAATGTTGCCAGCACTGTAGAGGCTGCTTCACTACCCTCAGCCCTCTCTTCAGGCCTCCGCGTACCCCGCCCCGTCCCCGCCCCGTCCGCGCTCCTCCTCCTCCTCCTCCTCCTCTTCACCCTTCCTCCTCCCCTTCTCTCCCGCCAGGCCCCGCCCTGCCCGGGAAGGATCTGCGAGAACCGGGGTGGGGGCAGGGGACGGGGGAGAAGCCTGGAGGCGGGACCAGAGCGGCGCCGCAGCCGGGGACACAAAGAACTGCCGGCTGGAGGCGGAGTGGGCGCGCGCGCCGGCCCGCGTCCCTGGCCCGCGCGCTGGCGGAGAGCCGAGACTCCCACTCACTCCCCGGGTGAGTCGGAGCCCGGGCGTCTGCGGGCGTTCGCGCGTCCGCTTCTCCAGTACCTCCTGGCGCCGCGCGGGGTCCGAGTCCTCACACCGCCCCCAGGTGCGCGGCCGCTGGGACTTGTTGGGGGCACCAGGGCAGACACGGTAAGTCTGACGTAGTGTCCTGTTTTTTCTGCCACCTTCTGGGCTGTGGAGGGAGTGGTCACCACTTTAACTTACAAGAGGGAGTCCGGGTGCTTGACTAAACTTGTTAAAAACCAGGTCTTCCGTCGATCGCCTTTCCGAAGTGCCTGTGCACCTTGGAGTACTTTGTGTTCTGGCCCCTTGTGAAGTGACCATTCAGCCACAGGCGGGCGGTCCTGGATAGGGTCGGTAACACAGTTACCTTTGCAAAGAAGGGGTCAAACTGATGGATGGAGCTGTGGTGGTCTTAAGTACCTGAGGCTGGACCTTCCTCCTTCTCATACCTCGTGTTGCTGCGTCTTGGGGTGTCAGTGCTGGGGACCCCTACTCTGCCCCTCTTTTGGAGGGTGTAAGGACCCTGTGCTTCTGAGGCGCCCAGTCATTGCGCAGCATTCTCTCCTGTGGCCTCTCCCACCACAAAGTTCTTACCTGCTTCCTTTGGTAGTATTAACCAGTTTGTGCTTGGGAAGATTTTTGGAAATCTGGACACCATTCTTGGGGTTGGAGAAGACTGTTTGTTGGGAGTTCTGTTGTACTAGTGTTGCAAAATCACCCCTTTCCTCCCATCAGTGTGTCCAGTCACAAATCCCATGTTTCACACTCACACATTTGCCCATGTATTAATGCCACATTGTTGGGAGCCCTGTATGGGATTGTGTGTTTACACAGGATGGAAGTGAAGAGGGTGTTACGGTGTACGGTTTCTTTCCGCTCTACCAGACAGGCCAAACTTTGGGACCACAGAGAAGGTCCAGAGAGGTGCCTCCAGGAGATTGTGATGCTCAAGGTCAGTAGTTGGGAGGAACTATGAGTGATGGTGTTTCTTCTCAGAAGTCTTTGCTGTGATTTCTGGCTTTTCATAATGGATTTATGTTACTTTTAAAGCGAGGTGGAGGGGTAGTGGGGAAAGATAGTGAAAGGTGTTTGTTTAACAGAATATTAGGATCAACAGTTCTGTGTGCAAGAGTGTGTGTATATTAAAAGGAAAATACTTAGATGGTTAGGGCAGCAGTCTACTATCATGTACTATCCCTGCTCCGTTTGACCTATACGTTATCTAGTAGTGGCTTAAACTAACAGATCAAACTGGTTCACAGTCATGGGCAACATATTTGACAGGCTACAAATATGATGGTGGTACCATAAGATTATAATGGAACTTAAATATCCCTGTTGCCTACTGCCATTGTAACCTCGTAGTGATTGTAATATCCTAGCTCCATGCATCAAGCATGTGTTTGTGATGATGCTGATGTAAACAAACCTACTTTGCTGCTACTTGTAGGCATTAAAAGTATAATGGGTCTCATCCGTGCGGAATATGTGCTGTAACACTAAGATAACAACACTAGCCCTGTAAATACTTGATAATGAGAATAAACAAAGTTACTGGTTTACCTAGTTACTATAACTATGCTTTCTGTGGTTAGAATGTGCTCCTTCTAACTTATGGGGAAAAAAAAGTTTACCATAAAACAGTATGTCACACTCCTGAACAGCAGCTCAAACATTTTAATTTTCAAATCTCTTGATTTCAACAAGAGGCCCATCAAATTATTGACCTACATTATTTAGGTTTGTGTAAGTACACTCTCAGGTTTGCACAATGGCGAAATCACTTCAGTGATGCATTTATCAGATTGTGTCTCTATTAAGTATGTGACTGTCATGTATTGACTGTTATTTTGTATCCTGTTACTGGAAACTGACTAGTTTTATATGTGTGTGTTTGTGTGTGATATGACTCAGTTACCTTATTTTGGGACTACTTTGTAGATGAATAATTTAGGAAGAAAATAAGTAATGATTTTGATGTGTTAGAGTTTCTCCAAGTGGTCATCATTTATTAGGGAAATCATTCTTGTAAAATACTGTGTTTTTAATACTTAACTGTATTTGGACAAATCAAAGTGGTATTTGTGTGTTTGTATAAAGTTCAGATTCAATAAAATTGGAGGATAGTAGCTTTTTTTCCCCAGAACGAGAAAATAGCAAGTCTTCTCTAAAGAATTTGAGCTTCAAATAATAACACCAACAAATTAGAAAAGAGAACACTTTCTAGAGAAAAAGTTAGGATTTAAAATTTTTTAAATTGAATTTATATAAACTTTGAATGGAACACTGATTTTCTTGTTTTAATATTTATTTTTGCATTACAATTCTTAATACACCATTAGGAACACTGATTTTCTCTAACTCATATTTGCTACATACATATTTGCAGTTTGCAGGGCTGTTTGGAAGTGGGTGAGCTGATATGGTCATTTGCTAATGGCATGTTGTAAATCCTTTAAAATTAGCATGTTCTTTGTTCCAAATCTTTATGACAAACCATAAGTATCAAAGTATGAACTATAAGTATTCAAGAGCCCCCCCTTTTATGGTGAGTAGCTTTAGATGCTTTTTGGTAGGTAGTGTATGAGGGGAGTCCCTCTGAACACATCCTTTGTACCTTGGGCACCTGACCTGTGAATCTTGTTATGAATAGGTGGCTTCTAGATACCTGTCTTTTTGTCCTGGCTCAAAAAAGATATGGAAGTGGAAGGCAAAAGTCAGAGCAGTGTCCTTACTTCACACCTAAATTGGGAAATTTGGGGAGTAGCTTCAGGTACCTGACAAGGCTTCCCAGCCTAGAAAGTTATTTCCAGTGCTTGTGGCTACTTTGCTGTCTAATTCTGTAGTTATTCCATAAGTAGTTGAATGACAGTGGCTCTAGGTTTGGATCCAGTTTAGTCCTTGGCTTTAAATACAAATTAGGAATTCAGGCTCAAGGCCAGGGGTTTGGTTAATCACAGCAGGAGGCCAGAACTTTGGGTCAGACTCTTGGGGTGAGGAAGCTGTAGTGGCAAGCTTGCTTTTCCTTTATGCATCCTCTCAGTAACCTTGGGCCTCCTGGATTATGACTGGCACAGTTTGTGATTGAACAGGGTTCTTTTATGGAACTATAAAGCGTTCTGAAGCTCTCTCTATTGTTATCCTCTTTTGACCTGATTGGAGCTTTCACCTGGTATTGACATTTTTTTCTCTCCTCTGGATTGTCCTTCTTCAGACTTCAAAAAATAATACTAACACATGTGGCATCTTAGGTCCCAAAGGTTGGATATAGTCTCCTTTGAATTAAAATCATTTGTTAGTTTCTGAAGTATATCAGAGTCCTATAGATAATTCTGATACACTCAAGTTTGAGATGAGAACTGATATATACTGATTTTTGTCCATTGAATGTTATTTTGTATCTTGTTAGAGGAAATAGAGAAAACTGGCAAGTTTTGTATATTTGTGTGTATATGTATGTGAAGTGATACATCCTCTTCTAACTCAGCTACCTTATTTTAAGATTTACTTTGTAGATCCATAATTTGGATAGCAGATAAGTAATGATTTTGGTGTGTTAGACTTTCTCCAAGTGGTCATCATTTATTAGGGAATGTCATTCTGTAAAAGCTCTAAGGAGGGCTGGGGATATAGCTCAGTTGGTAGAGTGCTTGCCTTGCATGCACAAGGCCCTGGATTCTAATTCTTAGCACCACACACACACAAAAAAAGTAGTTCTAGCCGGACACATTGGCACACACCTGTAATCCGAGCAGCTGGGGAGGCTGAGGCAGGAGGATCACAAGTTCAAAACCAGCCTCAGCAAAAGCGAGGTTCTAAGAAACTCAGTGAGACCCTGTCTCTAAATAAAATACAAAATAGGGCTGGGGATGTGGCTCAGTGGTTCAATCCCTGGTACCAAAAGCAAGCAAACAAACGAACAAACCAAAAAAAAAAAAAAAAAAAAAAAAAAAAAAACTCTAGGTTTTTAAGGCTCCAGTAAAGATTTTATACACTAGTTAGGGTGGTTTAACTGCCAGTTGTTGGGAAACCCATCTCAGTCTGTCTTAAACAGGGAGGCTACAGAAGAAAAATCCAGGGCTTCAGTATTGGCTGCTCCATGGCTGAGCCAGACATTAGAGATCCAGGTAGTTCTTTTTGCATAGTGTCTGTTTGATGGTAAAACTGCCTCACATCTGCAGGGAGAGGGAGTTTGTCTTCTGTGACTGTCATTAAGAGTAAGCAATAACATACCTGGTCCTTCAGCCAGGCTGATAGCAGTCACAGACCATTTGAACCCCTTGATGTACATTAGGCCCCCACACTTGAAGGCTGGGAGGCCTAGGGACTGGGGGAGGACAGGCTTGGGTCCTTGGTTAGTGGCAAGCTTGTGTGAGTCTTACCACACAGGTAGTATCTCTACTCTACTAGGGCCCCTGCACTGAGCAGGGTGCTATCAGAAATGGAGTCCAGGTCTCTGGGTGTTTTGTGTTTAAATTTTGAATGAGTGTTCACTATGTGCCAGGCCCTGTTCTCAGTGTTTTTTGTAAATTCTTTCATGTAGCACTCAGAGCAGTTCACTGAGCCAAGGTGTGCTATTGTTCCCATTTTGCAGACAGAGAGCTCAGCAGTTAGTGAGGTTAATAGCATACTTAAGGTCACATGAAGGTCAGGTTGCCCAAATCTGGACAACCCCTTTGTAGATTCCACATCCCCTACTGTGCTGTGTTGTCTCCAGACACATGAGATTTACACATTTCTCACTGCCTCAGAGTAACTAGATAATTTCTTTACTTTAAAAAGAAAGTTATGTGTTTTCACATAAAAACCATAATTAATATGATCCTGTAGGTAAGGGTACAGATGGGAATTCTTGTGGGCTTGCTATGCACATGCATGCCCACAGAAATAACATTTTAAAAAACTCAGTCTGATGTTGGCATTAGATCTGTAACAAACTTAAGCCTCCAGCAGCCACTACACAAAAAGAGGGTGTTGGGCTTGCCCTGCCAGGTACACCTCCCCAGGGCTCATTCACAGTGGAGGTCTTGGGATCTCCTTAGGGTCACAGATGGCATTCAACCATAACACAAGAACCAACAACATCAAATAATGTCATGAAACAGTCACTGATTTGGAGTTTTAGT